CACCCCCCCCAACCAAAAACCGCGGGACCCCCCCCCCCCCAGCTCTGGGCAGCATGCCCCAAAGCTCCCTCCTCCACTCAGCCCTCCTGAAGGAAGCTGATGAGGGAGCCAGGCAGGAGGAGGTGCTGAAAACATGCCGCTCCTCCTGCTCCCCTCTGGTGGTCTTCTCTCCAGAGCATGCGCCTCCCTTGTTCCTATACGTGCCAGGAGCCCAGCCCTTTTCCTGCACCCAGATCCCAGAGCAGTGAGAAAGGTGGGAGAAAGAGGCCTCTAATCAGGAATCAGCCCTGGCATCTCTGGCTCTAGCCCTTGCACCCCTGGAAGGAAGAACCGGATGGGATCTCCAGAGGGTGATTAGAGCTAGACTAGTCCCTGTGCTGGTTCCCAGACTCCCACTGGCCAGCACTTTCCCTGGCTGCCAGGAAGTTGGTGAGGAGGAGGCGGGAGTAGGGGTGAGTCAGAGATGACAGGAGCCCAAGGGACAAAGGTCATGGGTAGAGAATTGAGAGACACTGTTTACAGCAGCCCACCTCCTCCAGGAGGCCTTCCAATGCTAATCATCCCTGTGATCCTAACCAATCTCTGACCCACCCTTCTCCCTCTCCTCTGTTAGGAATTGCTTTAACAACTGTGCATCCTGTCTGCCCAGTAAACTGTGAGTTCCTAGGGGGAAGGATGGACTGTGGTTTGATGGGGGTATGTGGGGGGTGCACAATACCTCTGTTCATCAGCAGTGATAATAATTTGTTTATACTCCCTACTTTCAAAAACATCTTACATCCGTTTTAACTGAGTTAGGTGTGGGAAAGTGCTTAGAACTGTACTGACCAATGGCAATTGCAACAAGAGTATTAGGTTTATAGTTAGTATTCTCTGCTTATATGTTATTGTGAGAGACGGAATATTCTGACTGAAGAACTGAGAGCCCGAACAGGTTATGAGAAGGGAATAGACCCCTGCTAGAATTCCTGCTTAGTATATGTATCTGACTAATAGAATGGACAGAGGCAGGCTGTGGGACCCCAGTAGAGGTGACAAGGCAAATGCTTGCCTAGACTAAGGGTGGCACTGTCTCTGGGCGCAGACTGTGAGAAAGGAGTGTTCAGAACCCCTTGGGCTCTTCCAGGTCTCCTGGGACCAGAGGCCGTGGGATGAGAGCAGGGAAGGGGACTGGATTAGCCCATACTCTCTTCGGACCTCCAGGCCTGCCCCCACAGCGCTTGGCAGGCCCCGGAGCCAGTGGAAGGCTCCAGCTGGGCTCTGGGGAGTTACAAACTGGCCACGGGGATTAGTGAAGCTGCAAAGAACATTTGCCTAGGAAGGGAAAACGGGAAGTGAGAGGCTGAGGATAACGCTTTTTAAGCCCCTGGGGACCAACTGCAGACCAATGGGGGTAGGAGGAGGTGGTGAAGTCTGGGGCATCTTGACAGGTCCCCCACCCCAGCCTACTCCTCCTCCCCAAGACACAGCTGCAGCAACTGCCCCGCCCCCTTCCTGTGCTACCTGCCATTGGCTAGGGTCAGGGCCCTGCCCTACAGAGGCGACCTGCCATTGGCTTAAGTGTTTGATGTTTGCGTGTTTGTGGGGGTGGTGGAGCGGCGTCATTCCCTGGAACCAGGCGACTTCCTCCCTCTGCTCGTCTGGGTCGTCTCGTCTGCCCGTTGCTGGCCCCATTTCTCTCTCTGGCCCCATCGCTTTGTCACTCTCTCTCTCAGCAGCTGTCTCTTTCGCGTCCCCTGGCTTGTCTCTCTTCTTCCTTGCAGTCGCCTCCTTCGCCTGCCTGGGTGGCCGCCATGGGCCGGAAGCGGCTCATCACTGACTCCTACCCTGTTGTGAAGAGGAGGGAGGAGCCCTCTGGGCATAGCAAAGGGGAGCTGTCACCAGAGCTAGGTCTCTGAGATGTGGGAGAGGCAAGAGGAGTGGACAGACGGAGGGACCTGAGAGGACCTGGGCAGAGGGGTCAGATGGAAAGGGAAGCGCAGCAAGTCCTCTACTTCTACCGCAAGGTCTGGCTGCTCCGTGGCAGAGGCAAAAGGGTGGGGAGCAGAGTTGGGGAACAGTGGCACAGCTGTGAGGTGAGAGCAAGGACTCAGACTAGCCTCTCAAGACTAGCCTAAGAAGAAGTATGTCATTGCAGGGGAGGAGCCCCAGCCCCACAACGAGGAGGAAGAAGCAGAGCTGGAGCTACTGAGGCAGTTTGACTTGGACTGGCAGTATGGGCCCTGCACAGGTGAGAACCCCACTCAGGCCCTGACAGGGCGGCTCTGAGCCAGTCCTGTCACTCACATGTCTCTGAAGTTACCCAAAACACCTACCTGACTCTTTTTTTTTGGAGAGGTTTTTGCTATAGGGTGCTTGCGCTCACCAGACAGACAGAAAGCGAGAAATCACCCCCCAGGGGGGATGGCCACACCGCAATCCCTTCTCCATTCTCTTGGGTTCTTGGGCACGCACGCACACACGTCTGGCATGAGTTTAAGCCACTGGGTCGGGGACTCGAACCGCGGTCGACTACGTGGGAGTCCAGCGACATAGCCATTATGCTAATTGCTGGTCCCAACACCTGCCTGACTCTTAGGGAGTGTCGCCTGAGACACCCTCCATACACATCTTCTAGCCCAGGCTCTATCCTACCATAGTGAAGCCCAGAGCCTTCTTCCCACCTGGCAGGGATCACACGGTTGCAGCGCTGGCATCGAGCAGAGCAGATGGGCTTGGAGCCTCCTGTAGAGGTGCATCAGGTGCTGAAGTCCCACCCTGGAGACCCCCGCTTCCAGTGCAGGTCAGAGCCAGGATAGGAGGGCTTTCAGGGGAGCTAGGCCCTTCTCCAGGCACTTCTACCCTTATGACCCAGGGTGGGGGTTGCCCTGAGCTGAGAGAAACGGTGGCAGGTTTTGGGGTCCCTGCTGAGCAAGAGAGAAGGTTCTACAAGGTGTTTGGCTCAGAATGACAGGTGGCTTTAAAAATTCTTATCTCTGCATGCTAATGGTGGAAAAAGGGAACACCCAGGGGCCAACCTAGGTGTTTGCCAAGGACTATAGAAAAGGATCAAGAACTGGGGCCGGTGGATCAGATCAAGGGACCTAAGTGACACACACTTTCTCTCTGGTGTTTCCCTCTCTACCATCTCATATCCCACAGTCTTTGGCATCTCTATCCCCTATGACCTCGAACCTCCTGCTCTTGGCTAGCCACCAGAGGACCTCAGGAAAGATGTGAGAACCAGCTGCTGCTTCCCAGCTCATCTCTGCATGGAGGAACATCTGGCAGGCTGAATCCTGAAGTCTACATGACTCAGCTCCTCCACCTAACCAGCAGGCTCCAGGAGCCCCCTCTAAGAACCTACTCAATCACAGCTGAGCACCTCCTAGGTGAAGAGTGGTCTCTGAGGACAAGGACCTGGCCATGATCTGTCCAGTGCCTATCACAGGCCTCTCTGCCTATGGTGTGACAAATTATGCATAGCCTTGGGCAGAGCCAGAAGCAGGCAGATGATCTAAGAGGACAAGATGCACTGCCCATCCAAGATTGGGAATTTGAGGCAGGGTAGGCTGAACTCACAGGGCAAGCGGTTCGTAATGCTTTTCAATAAAGAACACTGAGCCTGAACCCCTGGCCTCTAGTCCCTTAATGTGAATCTCTAGTCCCCAGCAAGTTAGTAGGTGGGAGAGAGCTAGTCCCACACCTCTTTTCTTGCAAGGAAGCCCCAAACCTGGGAGGGAGGAAAGTGAGAGTCCTCTCAGAAGTTGAGCAATCTCTGGCACCCCCTAGAGATATACATAGAAACTGCTATTTAGTTGCCACTGACAGCCTGATTCTCCTGCCACCTACCTGCCCAGTGTTGTCCACCTCACAAACATGGGCACCTTGCTATAGGAGGATCCATGGGGCCTGTGGATCATAAAGTCTACACAGACCTACACATTCCCAGCAAGCACCTATGCTTCCTTCATGGGTGGGCTACCTGGATCCAAAGAAGAGTTGGGGCAGGGTCTCAACTTGCATGACCTGTTTAGACATGACCATCATCTGAGAGCAGAGTGAAGAATCAAGAATCCATGCATGCATACACACACACACACACACACACACACACACACACACATAGTTTTGCTATAGGGCGCATGCCAGGGAGAGACAGAGGAAGAGAGAGAAAGAAAGAAAGAAATTGAGAAATCACCCCTGGGGGGATGGCCACATTTCAATTCCCCCTCTTCTATTCATCTCTTGGAACCTGGGGTACACATGCATAGCATGGTCTCCAAGCCACTAGGTCCAGGACTCAAACCACAAAGACAGTCATGTGGGATCAGGCCCAACCCAACCACCATGCCACCAGTTGGCTCAAGAGTTCAATTTTAGATATGTTCAATTTGAAGTGTCTGGCACACATCCAAGTCAGGGGGTGTAGGCAGTGGGTATCTAAGTCTGAAATTCTGTAGAGGTCTAGACTTGAGATATACATCTAGGGATCTTTTAGATGATATTTAAAAGCCATAAGAGTAGTTGAGATTTTCTTAGAGAATGGAGATATGAAAAATAGTCCCAGGATAGTCCTAAGACCTATGCTTAGAGAATGGGGAGAAGGGGATGCAGCAAAGTATACTGAAGACTGGCTGGTAACACTGGAAGAAAACCAGGAGAGTGGAGAGTCTGAGAGGCCTGGGCAGAAGGTGTGTCAAGGTCTCGGATGCTCCAAAGAGGCTGGTAAAATGCAACCTGAGGATGGCTCACTGGATTTAGTGGTCCAGAGGTCTTTGATAAGAGCAGTTCTATGAAGTGACAAGGATAAGAGCCTGACTGGAGTGTCAGTAGAAGCAGAAAGAAGGAGGCAATTCTTTACATAAATGGTGCAGAGAAGTGGAATGGTAACTAGAAAGGATGTGGTATCAAGGGAGGCTTTCTTTGCTGTCTTGTCTTTTGTTTTATATGGAATGATACAGAAGCATAGTTACACAATGAAGAGAGTGATCCAATAGGGAGAGATACTGATTATGCAGGAGATAGAGCTGATTGTGTGAGCAAGTCTTTGTGAAGGAGAGGAGGGCCAGAATTATATACAAGGAAGAGGGTGTTTTGCACTAGGAGCACCCACTGTGATGGGAAAGGTGGCAGAGCAGGTATGAGTGGGTACAGACAGGGGGATGCATTTTTGGATAAGAACCTTCAAGAATCAGATGTTTGCTAAGAGCTTGGCACTGCTGGGAGTGATTTGATGTTTACTAAGTACCTCTCCATGCCATCTGCTATACTAAAAACTACACACGTTAGCTGCTTGAATCCTCAGAACAATCTCATTAGGAAAGTATTATCCTTGTTTTACAGATAAGGAAACTAAGGCTGAGAGGAAAAGTGCTTTACTTAACCCATAAACTTCAGGGTCTGAATTCACTTCCAGGTCTATCCTCTTACTCAGTCACCCTGCACCTGCACTCCAGATGCTTAAGATGTTGTTGGAGAGATAAGGTCTACATATGCGAAAAGTTAAAAACCATGTAATACAAGTGCCACCCTAAGGCAACCTTGGAGTGGTATAGACACCCAGTTATCCCAGTTCTCAGGAAGGAGATAGCACTGTGGGTTGCAGGGAGCCATGCGAGGGCCTCAAGCACTGTATTAGCATGACCCCTGCCTTACCGCATCTGCAACTAGCCCCTGTACCCATGGTGTGCCCCAGAGCTTGTCACTGCAGAATGAAAGCAGATCCCCATCTGGGGCTGTGGGGGATGGCCCAAGACAGTGCCAATCTGAGAAAAGTCTTACTAGTGTTGTATTTTAGTTTAAAAGTCTGACCGTTTGGCTAGCAGGTGGCATGGAGGTTAAGGTGCTGGATTCCCACATGGGCAGCTGCATTGTTCAAATCCTGGACCTGGAGGCTTGAAAAAGCACACTAGGTGTATGTGCATGCATGTCTAAAATCCTGAGAGGAAACCAGAAGAGAAGTGATTGCAGTGTGGTCATCCCCCGCACCCCCCCCCCAAGGGGTTAATTTCTTTCTTTCTCTGGTGAGCACAAGCACCCTATAGCAAAAAAAAAATTTTTTTTTTAGAGGTTTTTGCTATAGGGTGTGTATGCTCACCAGAAAGACAGAGACAGAGAGACAGAAACTGAGAAATCACCCCCTAGGGGGTATGGCCATGCCGCAATCCCTTCTCCTCTATTCTCCTCTTGGGATCTTGGGCACACTTGCACATGTGCCCAGTGTGAGTTTAAGCCGCTGGGTCTGGGACTCGAGTCGTGGTTGACTACATGGGAGTCCAGCGACATAGCCATTACACCAACTGCTGGTCCCAGCAAAAACTATTTTTTAAAAATAAAAGATGGACAGTTTTCATTCTACTCCATATGTCTGTAGTAATTTTAATATACAAATAGATGAAATTATTTATTATCAAGTAAAATGAACCCTCCAGGAAGATGTGTCATGTGTGGTCTATGGCTGGCTTCATATACCCCCAACACATCTGCCACCTTGCTCAGTTTGAGCATCATTGCATAAATATTAAATAGGCATTTGTTAGAGGAAATGGGAAATCACCAGCCTTTGAAGGGTAAGAGTTAATAGGCATCATATAGCTTTCCAGACTGAGGGAATGGGCTGAACCAAGGCAATGAGGATGGGGTCAATGTGTGTGTGTTCTCATGTGTTTGCCTACAGGCTATATGTACAGAAGTGTGCAGTGTGTTGTACTCGCTCTGAAAACCAGTGCGATAAAAAGCGAGTATTTGAGTGCTTACTGTCCATTCCAGCACGTTTTATTCTCATAGCAACCCTGGAAATTACTGAAAATATTTATTTGTGAAATGATTTTAAAGAAGAAACTCAGAGCCAAGCCATGGTGGGGTGAGCAGTAGGGTGCCACTATGTGATACTGGAGCCACATGGGAGGCCCAGGTTCAGATCCTGAATCGACCTGAACATATTGGCTATGTCCATGTACATACCTGTGATCCTGGGTGGCTGGAAGGTTGAAAAGAGGATTGTGGTGTGGGGACACCTTGTCAAGGAAACACAGGCACAGAGACTAAATACAGGCACAGAGGGGTTAAATAGTTGCTTAGGGTCACATAGGGCTTAATTCCAGAGTTGGGTGCCAGAGCTTGCACATGTGTGATAATGCCAGTGAGGCAGGATAGGGCCCAAAAAAAGGCTCTTAAGCATGAGGTTAAGGAATTTGGACATTATAGTCATGAGAGGCCTGAAGGTTTTTGAACAGGAGAGAAACAAGTTATAATTAATCATCCTGGAATATCTGGCCAGGCTTGAAAGAGAAACCAGTGGAGCTAGCAGGTAATGTAGTGGTACATAGCTGAACTCCCACAGGATTGATTGTTCTTTGACTGCTGGCTTGAAACTCACACAGAGCATGTGTGCATGTGTGTCCAAGATCCCAGGAAGAGAATGGAGAAGGAATTGCAGCATGGCCATACCCCAGGGAGTGATTTCTCACTTTCCCTTTCATTGTCTCTGTCTCTGTCTCCAGTGAGTGTACGTACCCTATGGCAAAAACCTCTAACAAAAAATAAATAAATAAAAATAGAGGAGAGGCAAGGGAGCAGGCCTCAGAAGACACCTTCATGGCTACTGAGAACTAGTGATTTCAGGGGAATAGGAGAAATGAAGATTTTCCACTGATAATTCAGCCTCCATCCCACAAACTTGCATGGTAGGAAGACTTACAAGCCTCCTGTCTCTGTCTCTGCCTCTCTCTACCTCTGTTTCTGTCTTCTCATTTTTTGGTAATTTTTCCTTTAAAAAATTTTTTAAGGTAAAGCAGTTTCTTTGCTTTCAGCCCCTCCTTTCCATTTATCTTGTTAATAATCCCCTCTCCCCCTCCCAACCCAGGAGAGGCAAGGGAACAGGCCTCAGAAGACACCTTCATGGCTACTGAGAACTAGTGATTTTGTGTGGTGTGCCCAATTTTTGCTTTTTTTATAAAAAAATTTATTTTTAGTTTTTTTTTTTCTTCTCTTTTTCTCTGCTTCTTGGTTGTTGTTGTTACTGTTGTTTCTCTCTGTTTCCTTTTCTGCACGCTCCTGGACGCTCAGATTGAACTTCAAGTTTGGGAAGAAACACACTTTCCATCAGATGACTAGAAATCACCACAGGACCACAACAAATATGGGAAAGCAAGAAACTACCTCTCCTCCAAGGGAAAAGAATAACTCCTCTTCATCTACAGACAGTTCAATGGAAATCACGGAAATGTCTGATGAAGAATTTAGAATATTCATAATGGCGAAGCTAACAGAGATGGAAGAGAAGAGAGACAATGAAATGCAGAAGAGAAAGGAGAAAGGAGCTGATGAGTTCCAGGAGGTGAGGAAATTCTTGCAAGATTTAAAAGAGGAATTACACACTTTACAAAAGAATCAAATGGAACTGTTAGAGATGAAGACTATAATATAGGAAGTCAAAATATCTCTCAAAAGTATTAAAAGCAGACTAGATCATACAGAAAACAGAATCTCAGACATAGAAGAGAAAATTGCTGGTCTAGAAAAATACACCATGAAGACTGAGAAAATTACCCAAAAATTTGAGAATAATATATGAGAAATACTAGATACCATCAAACGTCCAAACATCCAGATAATTGGCATCCCAG